GAGCCTTTATTATGACTTGATCTTGTATCAAGACTTGATGTTAAATCACCTTTTGACATTGTGTGTATGGTGCAGCTTGCTAGGCAAAACTGTCACTTGTGTACTGGTTTCTTTAGAGGCATGTTGTAACTCAGTAGATTTTTATTTGCTGAAAGTTCCTTCCAATCTTGGGGAAAGTGAAGCACTGCTGTCAAATTTTAAGGCTGGCAGAAGAGACATGCTTGGCTTATGCAGTGAGGTAGTCTGTCAAGCAATCTAGTGCTGAGCTAAATTTCCTAAGAATTCTGTATGTGGAGCAAAATCGCACAATATTTCTCTAGGATTGAGTCAATGTTGCACAGTTCTTATAATTATGTACAATAATAAGAGGATCTTAAATCTCTTTTCTCATTGCTCACTGGTAGACCTGAAACTCTTTTAAAGATGCCAGATAGTTTTATCATGGTAGATCTGAGATAAGACTACAAGGAGCTGCCTGCAGTTCCCCTTCTGTAAATGAGAAAGGGAAAATGTACTTAGTGCTCCTTGCAGTGTTGTGTTTCACTGGAAAACCTAAGAGGGGGAGAGAATTGCCTTGCACCTGCCAGCTTCATTAACATTCAGCCACAGGATTGTTCAGATGCTTGTTAGGAAAGAGTATTGCTTAAAGGGTCACCTGCTAGTATTTTAAGTAAGCTTCAGTGGGAAAAATTTAGTATTAAAATGCATTTAAAAGGTCAACTTTGTCATTCAGAACTGCTTTGTGCATAATGCATGGTACATTTTCCAAAGGTTCAGATGGAGCAGTGGTGCTTTTGACAGATTTGCACTTCTATTGCAAGGAAAGTCCTGTATTAAAAAGGAGTACCCCATTTTGAATTTGGGTAACTCGAGACCCATCACTAAACCCCAAAGTGCTCTGTAAAACATGGATTATGTATATGCTGCTTGTGTATATTTTATGATGGAGAAAACATAATTTCTTGCTGGTTTTGGAGCTGAGCTGAGCTTTCTGGTTTAAAGCATACCGTATATAAAAATTTGGAGTAACAACTGCATTTGCACACGGTGATTGTATCAGGTTGTACTACAGATGAAATGTACTGACACTTACTGATACTCGCGGAAATGTCTGTTGCATATCATTTTAAAATGGGCTGTAATAATACAAATAGTTGTAACTCATTTACATTTCTACGTAGAAATGATGTAGTTCACAGTGAAAACAATAAACATTCTGCTTTTTTATAGCAAATATGAGTACCTTGGGTAGATGAGCTTCATAGCTGCATGGCCTTGTTACAGAATACAATTTTGTAACTCAGTTCTGGGGAGAAAGATACTGCTAGCAGGAAATTCTTGGCTGAGCAGACTTCTCATGTCTAGAAGTAAAGTTTATTGTTTTGGGATTACTTTGCTCATGTGATTTTCCATCATTGATCATTTAATGCCATTTCAGGCTTTTGGATTGTTTTTTTCGAGTTGCTGACAAGTATATTAATTGGCCAGTTTTGTACCTGAAAGCTGAATTGAAAGCAAAGATGGCCTGAATGTCACTACAGGTTGGGCTCAGTGGGATGATCTAAGTAGCATAGCTGTAATTTTCATTACCTGAATCAATCATTTGATAATATTGCAGAGTATCACTGCATGACCCTAGAAATGAACTAAGGGCTTGTAGTTTCACTGAGCCAATACTCTCCCCACCACTGACAAGTACTAAAGCAAGGAGGCGAGGTTATCTGTCTGCTTTAAACTTGACAAATACCTCTCTCTCTGCTCACCTTTTCCACTGCAGAAAGAGCTGTCTCTCTGCCTAGAGCAGTCTAACTACAAAGCTACTCTACAACTTCCATTTTTTTAGTGCAGTGGAGATGTGTGCCTGAAGGGCAAACAGAGATTTGTAATACCTGCGTCGATTATGGGAGAATTTCCGATCTCTCCCCTTCCTGCTGAGGTTTGTACAGTGGTGTGACAACTTTAGATACAGATTATTCTAAAATATTTTTTCCAAGTAGACTTTTTGACTTAATTTTTTTGTCTTGCTTGCAGTAATAAAAGTTTCTAGTAAGATTATAATGCTTTGGACCTGCACTTCCTGGGAAGGAAGGGTAGGAAGTCAGCATACATCCAAAGGGAAAGGGAAATTAATGGTCTTTGTAGCATTTTTTGCATGCTTAGCTTCCCTTGGAATAGGAATGCACAGGACTTTTATACACTTAGCTTTTTATACACTTAGCTTTTCACTGGGAGATGTGTTCTAGAATTTGGAGGTTGAAAGTGAAATGCACAGTTGTTTTTCCTGGCTTGTTTTCTGGTTACTTTCCAAGGAGAGAGTGGACCCTTTTCATGCAGACAGACCTCTGCTGTGTCAAGGCTGCTCAGATTAACTGTGCAGCTGGAAAGTATTTTCCACATCACTTGTGTAGATGTTGCTTTACTGGTTCTGCAGTTCTGCCTCTCCAGTTCCTTACTGGCTACTGACCACAAATGAGGCATTCATAAAATTGAAAGCAAAGTGAATAAAATTACCATAGCCTGTGATCCACAATATATTTATTATGTAACCCTCTAACCTCTAAGGTGTATGTGCATGTGTACATACATTGCTTCAGGTATGATACGTACTTTACCATGGCTGTTCTTTAATTTTACTGCCTCCTTCAAATACCATTTGGTCATTTTCAGGAGCTCACTTCAGAACTGTGTAGAAGAGCAAAGGGACAGGGGTTGGTAGAGTATCTGTGGATGCTTCTAGGAAAAACTTGTCTTTTAAAAAGTTTTATTCTTGCCATCTGTCAGGTGGACTGGAAAGGGGAAGAAGAAAGGGGGAGTAGGAATGGACCTATACCAAAAAGAGGAAAACTAAATAAAGTGTTGGAGGTTGACTGTGGGCAAATGAAGCAAAGAAGGTACAGAAGACCAGGAACAGAAGCAGACCAAAAGACATGGAATGCTGAATGGAGATGAAAATAACGAGGGAGAGGAATGCTTTTATTTTCCAAACAATCAAGAGTCTAGTAGTTGCAAGATGTTCAGGTAGGGCCAACTGAAAAGTTATAAAGGCCTGACTATATACTTAGACTTCTTGATATAATATCATTTAAAGGAATTTTATGAGTTTCTGTATTGCTTCTAATTGATATTTATAGTAATTTTTATTCCTTTTTAATGCACTTCTCTCCCCCACCTTCCTCTGCTAAAACCATTCCCACTATCTTGTTACTGCCTACTTCATTTTCAAATGTCTCAAATCTGTTGCTCTTCAGCACCTAAATAGTCCTAACAGTTCATAGCAGTAGCCTTTTGGGACGTAAGTAGCGTCTCTGCTAATTCTGCTGCTCACTATATAGTATTTTTTAGACCAAGAAACAATGAATGACTTAGCACTGTTAGGATTCCTGAGCAGACACCGTGACACTGGGATAAAGCCATCAGCATTAGGTCTTTCAGAGCATTGTCCCTATAGAGGACAATATATATGTCTGTTTTAAAGACAGAACAGTGCTGCACAGTAATTTTGATTTACAATTATAAAGCCTCACACAAAGCCTTTTAATAAATTATTCCATCTAAATGCGTGACAAACATTTTGGAAGGCATCAGCAATATTTTTGAGTATTTCTTGGTTTGCTGCATTTGCCTTGTTAAATATTACTTAAAAAATAAACCAGTTTACAAAAATCATAGTGTGAATAGAGACAAAGTGCTACTGCAGTTTGACTACCTCTTGTTTAGTTTGAAACCACAATTCTATCCCTTCCTTTGCAGCAGGAAAGCAAAACTGGAGATCTGTCATTCTTGGGTCCTGCTTTCTTCATGAAAGCAAATTCTTAAGGTAAGAACATAATTTTACACTTTAACATTGCTTTATTGTACAAAACAAGCAATTTATTAAATATAGCATCTGTCATCCTTCAGAAAAATACATGCAGAGAGATAAGCTTTTTGTTCACATTATTTTTTCTCCCTTGAAATAAGTATGACTTTTTCCTGTCCTGTTCCAAGGAATCAGACAAATTTCAGGTCTAGGTGTGCTTCTAAATGAAGCCTTTAAATCTTGCCTGTCTTCTCAGTACTACACATGAGGGGAGTTAACACTCCTCCAACACTATTCTTCAGGCAGTGGCCATTCAGTGATCAATTAATGTCTGAAATCTTGGTTATTTCATCTTTCACATCCTTGATCTTGGTTTGAACTGTTGTTAGATTGGCCAGTTTCTCATTCAGTAAAGCAATTTCCTTCTCCCGTCTTAACACCTCCTCCACTAATCTTCCTATTCTCAGTGTTAGGTCATTTATTAAGGGCTCCAAGATGGCAAACTCCTTTTTAACTTTGTACATCTTAGGTTTTAAATCATTTGCAAATGTAACTGTCTTCAGAACTTTTGCTCTGTCACCTTCAAGATTCAAAAGTCTGTCGGAATGCTTGTTAAAATCACTCCTTAACTCGGACAGTGCTGTCTTAATTTGCTCAATTTTTTTTGCGTTACTGGAAGCCAGGCTTTGGATTTTTGTACTTCGGTCGATGCTACTGGTAAGGAGGTCACTTATATTTTTTACTGTTGCCTTTTCACCTTTTTCTACTTTATCTTCTAGTGTTAGTAAAGAATCCGTCAGTGTAGTCATTTCTGAGACCAGGCCTGAAATGCGTCTTATGTCAGTTTTCACTGTCACAATTGTCAATGTTACATTCTTTGCTATAGAAACTGCATTCTGTTCAGTGCTTGAAACTGCATGAAAAAGGCTTGTTAAATTCTTCTCTAGTTCTTCTTGTTTTTTAATTATGCTGCTAGACCATGTTTTCATTGTATAAATATCTTCCTGCAGATATTTAATGTGAGAAATTGTTTGAAGATCTTCCAGCTGTTTCATTAAGTTCCAAGTCTTTTCACACTAGAGGGATACAAAAATATTTCTAGCTTAACAACTTAACATCAAAATTCAAGCCATACTTAAATGAAATATCCTATTATTCTGACATTCAATTTGAATGCAAACCCTATCTCTAGGAAATCAACTTCTGTTACAACACAATCACATTTTTTTTCTTCTCAGTATACATAATAAATGTTAGTACTTCTTCTATTACTACAAAAAATCACAGGAAGGTGGTATATGACTTTCCAAGGTAACCTCTGAAAACACAAGTCATCAAATGGAATCTTCTTCCATATACAGGAATTTTAAAATCTCCATGAAAGCTATTTAGTGAAAGAAAACTCATGCTTACTGCTGGATTTTTGTCTTGATTTGCTAGTTCACTCTTTTATTTTTATTTTCTTATGATTCGTTGTTGGTTTTCAAATTTGGGAGCGAAAAAGGAAATCATCTGAGTGATACTATCCTGTTCAATCCCCAGTAAGAGTAGAACTTGGAGAGAAAAAAAAAACACCAAACAAGCAAACTGAAACACATTCCAAGAGGCTAGAATTAGTTTTATATTAATCCTTTTCTGGACACTAATAGAAAAAATATCATCACAGGAACAAATATTTTTAACTCTTCCATAGTGCTGGTCATTCCTTAATAGCTCAGAACCGTTTGCTCAAAAGCAAAACACCAAAATTTAGGTTGTGGAAAGTCATGCTTATTTCCTACTTAATGTCCTCCAAGGATGAGGATTTCATGTTGAACCTCCTTCATATTCAGCTTTCAGTAGGGTTGAGGTTGATGAAAGATTTTAGATTAGGGGTCATTCCACTGGCACTCTCACCACCCTGCCTCAAAAACATACGAAGTAGAAACACTAGAACTTGGAAGACGCTTGTGAAAAGTGTTTAAAAGTATTTTAAAAAAACATTTATTTATATAATAGTTTTTCCTAATAGGACATGGAACACTAAAGTATTTACTCTGTATTCCTTTCTGGAGGAGCAGTTTATTTTGAATCAGATTATATGCACCAGGATGAGGAAATTCACTACAATATATTTTTATTTTGACTATGACTGTAAACTGACAGAAATTTATATATAAGCAATAATAGTATGAAGACAACACAGCTTTATAACATTGAGAAACATTGGTTTCATAGTCTCTTGAATAGGCAGTGTTACCTCTTTAGTGAAGATTTCAGTGGAATTCTCAAGAAATCAATGTACAAACCCAGAATAATTTAAATCTGATGAAGTCATAAATGTTATGGGTTCATACTGTTTCTACTAAGCAATCTCCTTTCCTGAGAAATACAAAATTATCAAGACAATAAGTCTGTAGACAATTTGTGTTGTCCCTGAGATCCAAATTTCAATGAACAGCTATCAGGTAGTACTACATCATGTCAGTAGGTCTATGGATAAACTGGATGTTCCCTGCTCCCAAGCACATAACTCCACCACTGATTTCTTTAATTACTTCCACAGCTCTTGGTTCAGCAAATTTTGGGAAACAATGTCAGTGACACCATTAATTTTTTATTTTTCTTGTCAAATGTGAAGCAATACGAGACGTATCATGTAATGCCTAACAAAGAATATCCTACAGAAGAAAAGGCTAAAATTTGTTTCTAAAGCACCAAAACACTCCCCAGAAATAAAAACAAACCAGCTGCTATGTAAATACCAGCTGCTTATAGATACCAGAACAAGACAAAGTTCTCAATAGGGGGTATTTTACTAGTGTTTTCCCTAAGGGTGTTGTACCTAAGCTTCAGCTGTTAAAAATGCACTCCTGTTTTCCTGCAGCACCAAACCATCACAGTGTACAATACATTAAAAGCAAGGTACAGCTAGCTCTGCTGAGAAGTAAATGATTAATTGTTCACTGTTTTACAAGTCTATGGAAAACAATACACAAAGTAACAACAAAAGAAACTAAGTAGTGAAAACTAAATACAAACTAAAAATATGAGCTCTTTTCCCCTTAAACCTAAATACTGTCCTTCAAATTATTTTTAATAAAAAAGGTATTTTAATAAATAAGCTGAAAAGAATCCTTAATTTAAGAAAATATTCCTTTCCTTCTTTAACAGAGGCTCATTCTCAACTTTTTAGGCTGTTCCAATGTCTCTTTAGATCAATGACAATATCTCAGCTATCCCTGACATACACTTAAATCACATTGTTTATAAAAATGTGCTTTTTCATTAATGAAAAAGTCAAAACTCACTTATTCCCATTCTGGTCATTTTCTGAGTTAAAGCTTTCCAAAGTTACTTCTTTTACTTTTGAAGATCCTGTTAAGTCAGGCCCTGTTTCTAGAACAGCTATTTCATGCTGCACTTTGAACAAGCTGCCCTTGGACTGTAGGGCTTCAAGAGCCTTCTGCACCACCACTGTATCAGAAACAGTTTTCAACATGTCATTTTCCACAGTGTACAGCTGTGTCTTCAAGTCCTCTATCTTTTTCTCCATACCAAGCAAGTCACTTGACAACCTAAGAATAGAGCGAATAGCATTTTCAATTGTTGGCAAATGGGTCTTGCACTCCTCAATTTTAGGTTCATAGTTTGCAAGTTTCTGATTCAGGTCTGTGTCCTTGGCTACCAGACTATTCTGTTCTTCTTCTAGCTTTTCAACTGACTTTGCATCCAAGTTCAACTTTTGTTCAACTCTCGAGAATTCATCATCTTCTTGCTTTTTTAGTGTTCTTATATTTCTGGCTGTACTGTCTTCCAAATCTCTTACTCTTTCTGAAAGGGATTTAATTCTTTGGTCAACTTCATTAATTTTGGAAGTAACTTCTGTATGTATGAACTTTGCTTCAGATTTTAAACCACTAGCATTTGTGTTAATTTCATCCAGGCTTCTTCTCCAGGAATTTGTAACATTTTGGAACTTCTCATTAATGCTCTGTATCTTTAGAGATAGAGTCTGTTCATTGTTCTGAATATCATTTATGATGTTGTGAAGAGAAGGTATTTCCTGCCCAAACTCAGTCATCACAGAGATGGATGAGGCAGCTTCTTGCAGGATACTTTCAGTAGACTCAAGCTGTGTTTACAACACAAAACAATGTCTGTGTCTATTTTAAAAAAGTAAGAACAGAAAACCATTTCCATTTATTAAGGGAAAATAAAGTCCCTTAAAAGCCTCTGTACTTGTTACAAAGCTCCTCCATGGTGCGTTTCCACGTTTAATCTTTAAAATATTGTTGATTAACCTAGCATGAAGAAGTCATGGAAAAACAGGAATGTCTATTGTTGAACTTCTATGGCCTATATGCAATTTTCCATGCTTGGTTTTTTTTGTGTCCAAAATACAGCAAATCCCATGCAACATTTTGCAATCTGAAGCATAGTGTATATAAATATCCAAATTACATCACGTATAAATGACATTATTCTGAGATCAGCGCTGAAACAAAATCACTGCCATGAGCCATGCTGTGCTACCATCATTATCTGTACTTATTATTAAAAATTATCAGGGATCATTCAGCAATCAGCACAGCTTTTCTACTTGATAATGTCACACGTGGTAATATTTTTTTCATTACTATTGTATTTTCTTATCTATCACTTTATTACGTCTTCATATTGTTAGAACAGGTGTGCTACATCAAAATGCTAGTATATTTTCTTCACATCAATGTATGTTAGAATCACACATGAAAGAGGACTGGTGGAATGAAATGTGCATATATGTCAGTTCTTAAAAACAGTTTCTAAAAAATAATACTGAGATTCAACCACTGTATTCACATACTGGAACAATGGCATGGATTGACATGCTTTGTATGAAATAGTCTCTAAAGGCCTATTCACAGGCAAGTAAAACACATTATGAAAACTTATTTAAAACAGTCAGTTAAATTAACAACATAACAATGAAGTAAACAATGACAAATGTTCACCAAAGATTATCCAATTAAGATGTTAATCATTACCTTTTCAGAAATTAAGTTTACTTTATTTCCCACATCCAGGATTTTTTCAGCTTCTTGATGTAAAAAATTATACTTTCTTTCCAGATCAGCAAATTGACCTGACTGCTGAAATAGAAACCTGCAAATTTCAAGTAAATAAACAGAAAGCATAACTTTTTAATTAGCATATATTAAGTATTCCAGGACCTGATTCACAGCAAATTGTTACTGGAGGTATTTCTGTTCACAGATCAATACATGACAGAAAAAAAAAAAAAATTAATGAAATTTATCTGTCTTGATAACTGGAGTTATCTTCCAAAAGAGGTATGACTACAAGGGAGCATCCATAGATGTCTTTGCTTTTACACTGCATGCAAAGGTAATTAAGGCACTGATGCTGGTAAGGTATTTTAAAACATCTTTAACAAAGGTATTTGACCTTTACTTAAAGACTTCACCTGATGAACAGTTTTATTATACTGCTGAGCAAATTATTTACAGAAAACTCTATTTCATTTCTTCTGTCCAATTATTTATTACCTGCCAAGCAAGCACTTACTGCCAGACTAAGTTGCTTTTTAGTAGATGTAGTCTCCAAAGCAGGTATTTAGAATTCCTGAGCAAGGCACCTTCAATATGATATAACAGATGGCGCTTCTATATTAACTCACTGCATGCCAATGTTTCCATGCTTGTGAACACTGCTACTCTCTCCTTAATCCTTCTGGCTTTAACAAGTTTCTATAGACTCTTGTCCCATGCACTCTGTTAACATGTAAATCATACACCCACAGAATACAAAAGAAAATACTAAAATCCTCTTAAGAGAGTTACCTACCAGCTCAGCACCAGGCAAACAGCAAGGGAAATGATACTCAGACTTGTCCTTGAGTCCATCCAAAAGGAACTGTGATTATTGCTGGTCCTGGGACTTGCCAGCTTCCCATAATTACTGTGCTTCTCAGCCTTCTGTGACCCTTCACTGGTCTTGGATGAAGACATACCTTTTTTCCTTGGCTTAACTTCAGACATTTTGTGGTTTTAAAAAGCAGAAGCAACGGAGAGAGCTAGAAAAAAAATCCCAGAAAGGATTATTTTTTAATTCTTACTTTTAAACATCCTCAAATATAAACTCTAAGTACACAAAAACACCCTCAAAAATGTTTCTTTCAGTGTTCACTATGCTTCCTAGTTATGTGAACTTTTGTAAAGTATCATAATGCTTTCATTTGCTTTCTATATTACAGAGCACTGTTTTCATATTTTTTCTAACTGTTTTTTCTAATTTTTTCCAAGCTTAAGCTAATTTCACCTTTCCAGAAATATTTTGTCTGCTGTAGAATAAGCTATTTTAAATATGTATTTAAAATTAAGAGGATTAAAAGTATACTTCCTTTTGTAGCCGATGACTGTCCCAAGTTCATCAGCAAATTCACTGATGAACTTGTGTTTTACCTGTAGATTTAAAAAATAATTATTACTTATACCACACTAAAAGGGGAAAGTAAATTTTTCAATTTAAAAAATAAAATTGCAAATCAAGCTTTAATTTAGAAATAGTTCAGTTGTAATGATTTCATGTCATCTGTAAAACCACCAATGTCAGTTAACAAAAAGATAGAAAATGATAGAAAAATTCAGAAGATTAATGAAATCATGCCTCAGGAAAAAAGAAAAAAAGAAAAGAAGAAAAACTGTAACTTCCTCTGGATAAAATTATGGTCAGAATAGATTGAACCAATATGAATCTCCAGCTCATATTTTAATCAACCAAGTGAAGTACAGAGTGTAGATTTCAAGCCTAAAATCTTCTACCATACTGCTCAAAATAGACTTGATCCTTGGCGGAGTGGCTTTAGCCCAATTTGAGACCAAACTGTTGTGCTGGTTTTTTGGATCACTTTGCAGCACTGCCATTAATAATAAAATAATAATATCATTATTAAAAATAATTTTAAAAATAATATCAAAATTATTTATATTTGGAGATATTAACAGAGACACGGGGGTGAAAGGCTTTGTTTAAAATCTTATCTGTCATGCAGGTAGCTTAGAGCTGTTTGAGCCACAGTACTAGGAAGCATGCTCAGAGCTTATTGAAGTATGGAGGAAAAAAAGTTTTCATTTCCAAAAAACCCAAAACAACAAAACCCAAACAAAAAGAAAAGCCACGAAAACAGAAAAAATTTGCATTTTAAAGCTTTTAAAACATCTTTGGGTTAAAAAAAAAAAAAAAAAAAAAAGCTCTGAATAGTAGTTAGGAAAAGACTTTGAGAGAAAAGGAAAGCTCTGCTTTAAAAGGACGGCTTCAGCGCGCAGCCCGCTGCGGTACCAGGGGATGAGCCGCAGCTCCCCAGAGACCCTTCCGGACCTCCGGCCGCGCTGGGTCCACTCCCTAAAAGTAAAGGACTGCTCTCTCCGCTGCCCCCAAAGTGACCCACATCCCCTCGGCTCCCCTCAAAGTGACCGACTGTCCCCTCCGTCCCCCGGGCTCCCGGCGAGCCCTAGTCCCCGGGCCAGCCCTGCAGGATGCCCCTAGCCCTGCAGGATGCCCCCAGCCCTGGCAGTCCCGGTCCCCCATCTCCCCATCGCTGCGGCCCCTGCCCCGTACCCGCCGCGCTCCTCCGGCCTCAGCTGGGGGCCGGAGGCGGGTGAGGCCGCCCAGCCCCGCAGGCACCACGTTTACAGGCCCCGGGGCCCCTCCCTTAGCCGCAGCTGGCGCATCGCCGCCCGGACACGTCCGGGCCCGCCCGCCGCGGGCAGACAGACAGACAGACAGACAGACAGACAAACGGGCAGAGGTGACGGCACGCACAGCCGGGGCTCAGTGGCTCCGCGCCGGCGCGGAGGCAGTGCCGGGCTTTGTTGGGTGGCGGCGAGCCGGGCGGGCCGGGCCGGGCCGGGCCTTCCCCGCCCAACTGCGGAAGGAGGAAGCGCCGCCGGCGCCGCCTGGCCGGGAGCCGCGGGGCAGCGGCTGCGTCTCGGGGATCGGCAGGGGCTCAGGGCCCGGCAGGGGCTCGGGGCCCGGCAGGGGCCGGCGGCTGCCGGGGGATCCGCGCTGCCCGCCGGGCGAGCGGCGTGGCGGACACCCAGCGACAGACCGGAGCGGAGCGCCAGGGGCTCCGCCGGGGCTGGGTACGGGTCAGCGGCGGGCGGTCTGAGCGCCTCGGTTGCTGTTTGGTTCGCGGCTGGCAGCAGCGGCACGGTGTGAGTTAGCCCTTTGTTTTGGTGTTCGTGGAGCGATTTCTTTTGTGTTTGCTTCGCGAGTGGCAGTGTTATTACTATTATTATCCGTTTCTCGACCGAGGAGCTTTAGCGTCCCCTTTCCTCCGCGGTAGGGTGGAAGGCTTTCCTAACTACGTAATTTTCAGTGAAAATAGGAAATTCTGTCAGCACGGCGGAAGAGGTGCTCCATCACGGGCTGATCCAAAGGCAGCTGCTGTACATCTGCTGTTCATCTGCTGTACACCCAGCTCATGGAGGAGAGAGTGCCGGAAAAGGTGAACGCCTCAGCAGGCACCTGCATTGGTGCTCTGTGGAGGAGTTTGGACTTGTTTATGGAGCTTTCCTGGCCAGAATGTCATCGGAGAGAGTTTTGATCGTTTGGGACTCTCGGAGTCGCTGATCAGTTCTAGGAAGCCTTTGCGCCGTAGTCAATAGCTTTTACCTTCTGTTTTCTTTAGACATTTGGTTTTTTATGATATGGAGGAAGAATGCAAGTTTAAAGTTGCGTGTCTAAATGCTGATAAGGGAAGGTACAGCGCAGTCAGTGGCAGTGTTGGGTGCTCCGTCTTCCATCATATGTCAAGATCCAAGTGTCCTTTTATGGAGCCTTGATCTTGGAGACAACAATGCGTTTATCCTGTGCAATGAGACCAGTCCTCTTTCTCATCCTCTTGTCCCAATCACATGATCCAAGAACTTAAAAAAATTGAGGAATGCAGTGAGTGGGGAGAAGACCTTTTAATAGAGACATTTGGCAAGTTGCTAGTAGATGAGAAGCTTCTAGTCTTTGGGTTTTTAGTTCTGAAAGTGTTCATAAACATAAATTCATAGGAATGGGGAAAATAATTTGTTTTTTTCAGAATTAGCAGGTGCTTTGCTACTCTTTCTGATTTAACACCAAAATTTATAAGCTGTTTGAAAACTTCTTTCCTCACACTTGTAAGTTGTGTTCCCAGTCTGACTTGACTTCCCCTCTCCCTGTTCTCTTTCAGGCTGAAGAAATATGGATGTCAAAAGTAGAAACTATTTGCTGATGAATCGTCAAGCACTGGAAAATGACATCAAGACTTCTTATATCATGGATCGTATGATTGCTGATGAAGTGCTAACATTACAGGAGGAGGAGAGAGTGAAGCAGCAGGTAGAATTATCTCTCACTGCTATTCCTCTTCCTGGTCTGCTCACATATTTTACCCTGCTTTTTAAAAATAGTGATTTCTGACTATCTAATTCCTGGATTTGTCAAATTCTAAAGTATATGCCTAGCACACAATTTTTGTTGCTCTTAATAAGGTTAAGGGCTTGGTAAGTTAAAGGCTATTTCTACAGCTATAAATACTCTATAATTTACAGAGCGATAGATGAAATGATTTCTGAGGTTTCTTATTTCTGTATAATACCTGTTCTAATTTTTTTTCTAGAATACACGGAAGGAGCGAGCAGCTATGCTAATAAACATTATTCTTACAAAAGATAATAATTCATATAGATCCTTTTATAATGCACTGCTCCATGAAGGGTACAGAGATCTTGCTGCACTTCTCCAGGACGGCATCCCTGCTGTTTCATCTGGTAACAGAAAGAGTTCAATGGATGGAATGACTTCTTACGGTCAGTGTAACTACAGCGATCCCTGTGCTTGAGTGAGAACACAAGTTTTTTATTCCTTAGAAAGTGGCTATGGGTAATACCTGTTCCAATGAAAAAGGAGCAGTTGGTGCATTTGTTTGTTTTGGTAGTGTCATAACTATGTCTCTATGTCATCTACTTAATATGGCCAGGAGAGTTACCACAGTTACAGCTGTTACAGGTCATCTTGAAAGTGTTCATATTAAATAATGCTTATTTTAAAAACAGGATACCTGGTGCTCTCATGGTTTTCTCTAGTTTGTAACATTTTTTTTGTAAGTGAAAGGAAGACTCTCATTTGTATGTATTAAAAGAAAAACTTGTAGCCTCCAAAATTCTGATATCTAAGAGTAATCTGGAATCTCTCAACCTACATTGATCTAGCTGATCACTGATAAGTTGATCTAATTATAAAGTTACTTAATTCTTTCCACCAGATCTGTTAGTAGCCTATATAAGCTCCATGACTTTTACCTGTGTTGTCTTCAGTATTACCTTTGACTGATTACCTTTATTGATGAAATAAATTTTTAGGTTCTAATGGGCAGAACCTACTAACTGCCGTGTTTACTGGCACTCTACAGGTAATAAGTGTCAAAGGCATGTAGAGTTCAAGGCTATCTTAGATAATCAAAGTTTGTCAGTTATGTCACTCCATATGGCCACAAAGTGGGCAGATGAGGTGCACATTTCCTTTCCTGTCATGCTTTACCACTTTAAAGTTGTGCTATCTCAGCTTAAATCAACGGAAGTCTTGCTAGGTTCCCAGTGCTGTGCTGTGAACTGCCTAGGAAAGGCTTTACACAGCATCCTTTCTTTTCTGCTGCATCCACTGTGTGGTGACTTCTGACTGAGAAAGGGACTTGATTGTTGGGTAATGTTGAGCTCCTGTGTTTGCCACAGTTTCCATGGGAGATGTTAATTCTCTTTTCAGTTCTAGGGATTAATGTAACAAGCTTTCCTCTTGCAGTTATTATTAATTTGAACACTGTTTTAGATAGGGGGCTAGTTACATGCTAAGTAATTTATTTCTGAAAAGCAGTATTTTTTTAGTATTTGATATTTTGAGTCCAGCAGGTTTTAGGGCTTTTTTATGGAACATGAGGTGGGGAGGGAGCCCACTAGTTAATTTGGGTGGAGAATTGTTTGGTTGGGTTTGAAGAGGCATCACATTTAGAACTCACATTCTGTTTTGATGTTTCTTGTTCTTAACTTTAGTGAAGACCATTCTCTGCGAAGGGGGTGTGCCACAGAGACCAGTTGTGTTTGTCACTCGACCAAAGCTCGTAGATGCTATTAAAAAGAAACTGTACTGCTTGGGAAGTGATCCAGGCTGGGTCACGGTTTATGGAATGGCAGGCTGTGGGAAGACTGTTTTGACAGCAGAAGCTTTAAGGGATCCTCAGCTCTTGGAAGGTACTTTCAGGAAAACATCTGTTTTTTTATAAAAATCACTATAGGTATACACATATTGGACATGTATGGTGCAATATCATGTGTCACCTTGAAAGTGATTTGGGTTTCTAAATTTCTTAGGTGATTCTGAAATATTTGCTTGCAACATACAACTTTCATAACCATTTAGTGGTCTAGGACCACTAAGTGTTCTATTAGTTTGTAGAAAAAGGTTTGAATACCTTTTCACCTTAGAATCTGCTTTGATTTATGAGAGTAGATGCATCCTTAATTAACTTGAAATTGTTATTTCTGTTAATGCAAAATAATACATCTAGTTATATTCCTTTTGGGCATTGCTGTAAGGTCCTCAGACACCTCTCCTTGCTATGTGAGTTAAAAAAATATCTTGCTCTAACTTTTGCATATATTTTAATAGTAGCAGGCATTTGTGGGTGATTAGTATTGCCTTAGCTTAAAGTAGGTCATAGATGCAACCGTTTAATGGCATTTTTTCTATATTATCTATTTTTCCTTGCATAGGACACTAGGAAGAGAAAGTAGGACTTGGTATTAAAGAAAAAAATGATGTAGGGATAGATACTATAGCATCCTCTGCTACAGCTGACTCTTTTAGATATCTTCTTGATCACTGTTTCAGGATTATTTTTACATGCCACACTCTTGAACTCCTGTGGTACTACACGGTTAAGAATGTAAATGGTAGGTCAGACTAGCAGGAAGATGGATGCAGAAGGGGCTGTGGAGGGACAGGAAGGAGGATGTGTAGAAAGGAGGGACAACAGCATCAGTGATGGTGTGAAATTTCTGTAGGTTCTTGTCCTGTAGAGTCTGTTCCTTTAAAAATAAACAGGAATGGTCTTTTAGAACCACCTTCTGGTGTTAACAGTAGTGTTGTAAGGATGGCTTGCAACAGACTTTACAGGTTTGTGTTTTAATTAATGCTGACTTACTACTGTAAATTGCTATTAAATATTTTAAATTATTTAAAATGTGTAGCATGATTAATATTGCCTTTCTTGATAGATTACTTTCCAGGAGGAGTTCACTGGATCTCTGTTGGGAAACAGGACAAAGCAGGGCTCCTCATAAAACTTCAGAATCTCTGTAGTAGATTGGAACATGAGTCCACTCTTTCACAAAGACCACCACTTAACATTGAGGAGGCTAAAGATCGTCTTCGTTTGCTGATGTTACGCAAATACTCCAGGTGATGTTAGTAAAATCAAATACTATTCTTTTAACTGATAAAACTTTGCAGAGTAACTTTGGTCTACTCATCTGAGCTGTCTGTGTTGTGGTTACATGTGTCTGTGGTGTGTGTGTTGTTTTTTTTACCAACTTCCTAACTTACGCTAATATGACTTCTGTCAACAAAATATGTTAACCAGCTGTGCAGGAGTCAAATTTACTTGAAAAAGCAAATAGTGAAATAATGAAAGATGGGATTGAATAGTGAAAAATGGG